GCTGCTTTCCCTACTTGCCCATAGTAGAGTCAGTTCTTCAGAATGTTGTTTGGATGATCATTGCATATCAACACGTGACTTGGTTAGCCCCTGTTAAAACTGCCCATGGCTCCCCCAGTGCCTCAGAATAAAGCTGCATGCGCTGCTCTGGTCTGCAAGGTGTTCAACAGCCCTCTCTCTTCTGCTGCTTGTAGATGTTCCTGCATGTGCTCTGTCCTCTCTGGCCTCATATTTGTGGTCTTCCTGTTCCTAGCCCCGAATGTACTTCCTTCTCTCTCTGCCTAGTAACCTACCCTTAGCATATTCAGCTTTAGGTGGCAGATCCTGATTCAGGTGGTAGTTCTTTCCTTCTTCCCTTCTCCCTGTGCCCCGCCTGGCTTTGTTTTCCTCTTGTTCCCGTAGAGCCTGAACAACACTTCAATTGCAGTACTTCCACCACGTTGTTTTATGACTATTTCATTTTGACCTCCCCATCCCCACAAAGCCCTGTGTCCCCTTTGCTTCTGCATGTGAGTCCCCAGAACAGGCCACGTGTAGCTGGTTATTTGTTGACATTTTTCTAGGACAGTGGTTCTCAACTGGGGGTGATTTTGTCCCCCAGAGGACATTTGGCAATGTCTGGAGACGTTTTTGATAGTCATGATTGGTGGGGCAGTGCTAATACATCCAGCGGGTAGTGGCCAGGGATGCTGCTAAACACCCTACAATGCACAGGACAGGACCCCACGTTATCCAGTGTGAAATGGCAACAGTGCTGAGGTTGAGAAGCCCTGCTCTAGCAGGAAGCGCAAAACTTGAGAGTACTAAAATAAAAGACATTCCGTAACAAAAAGATGAAATTAAATTTGGAGTTCTCAAGTAATATATAAAACTTTTCAGTGTTGAGGAATTTAATTTTCAATGTAAACGACGCTGGTTCTTTTTGTGGCCTATTTTTTTTGTTTTTTTTTAATTGTCCCACTGTTTTATTTTTTATTTTTTTATTTTTATTTTTATTTTTTTTTTATTTTTTTTTATTTTTTTAACATCTTTATTGGGGTATAATTGCTTTACAATGGTGTGTTAGTTTCTGCTTTATAACAGAGTGAGTCAGTTATACATATATATATGTTCCCATATCTCTTCCCTCTTTGTCTCCCTCCCTCCCACCCTCCCTATCCCACCCCTCCAGACAGCCACAAAGAACCGAGCCGGTTTCCCTGTGCCATGCGGCTGCTTCCCACTGGCTATCTACCTTACGTTTGTTAGTATATATATGTCCATGTCTCTCTCTCGCCCTAATATTGTTAATATTTATTCGGAAGCTCTGTTTGGGGGGGAACGTGACCCTTGAGCTTATTAATGGGTTAGCAGTATTTAGTAATTAAACACTTTAGTAATGCAGTAATGTAGGCATGCAACTGAGATTGTGAAAAGGATAGTGGAACTAAGCTCTTCTTTTGAGAATTTTTTTCATTTACTTTTTCGTATTCTAAATGCGCCTGGTAACAGGTGACTACCCAAGCTGGTTTTTGGAGGGGATGTGGGGATGGGTGATGTCCTTTTTAAGCTCTTAAAAAGGTTTTAACTATAAAATCCTCAAAAAAGGCCAAATGTGGTAAACCTTTTACCTTGTGTGTGGATTAGGAAATGATGAAAACCATTGTGCTAACCAGCCTCCACACACGCACACACCCACACCCATGCACACACATATCCCCACAAATGATAACCCTCACCCACTTGTATCCTCTTCACTTGTTCTAGCCAAGTGCCTGCTATAATACCAGTGACACAGTCCATGCTGAACATCAGTAGAAAGGGCTCCTCATGAGGGTCCCCATAGCTACACCATGAATTGACCAGGTAGAGAATCCATTCAACTAAATGTACAATTTACATTTAGTAAATTTAAAATTTAGTGTAGGTATTAAATTAGGAGGGGCTACTGATATACTGGAAAATTAGAATGTTGAAGGGTAAATTGTTGCTGACATTAGAACAATACGGGACTGACTTGCAAAACCAAGTAATGGGAAAATAAAATACCTACCACACTTGAAAGTTTTAGCATGTTTCTGGGCAAAGACAGCAAACATTACAGAAGAATGTTTTCATTCTTTTCTCCAGGATTGGCTATTGATATGACTTCTGTTTTATAATCTGGTTTTCAAAAAAAATTCTTATTTATTTGGTAGTTCAGAAATTTGAGTAAAAAAAAGAATAGGAAATGTTAGGAAGAAGACTCAGTGATTCATTCTCTAAGCAGTTCCTGTTGATAGTAGCAATTTCAAATTAGCCTCTTGAAAATATAATATTGTATTGGAATTGTGTGGGAAAAGTCCATTTTTCATCTTTATCATTGGAGACGTCTTTGTTAAATTAAGTGGTTTACACCTGAAGAGGCAATTTTCTTTATAGTTGGCTTTTAACAAATAGTGAATATTATTTACCCCACATTAAAATTCAAAATCAAAACAATACTTTTTTTCCAATAGGTGTTAGATTACAATGACTAATGGCTATTCAGGTTGGTGTTATGAGTTCAGTTTTTGAGACTGACATATGTGCGGCACATTTCTTTTAGTTTATTGAAGGAAGATTGAGATATTTGTACTGAATTTGGTGGATTCTGTGAGATAGTACCTGGCTTACAATTGATTTAATCTCTTGTCTTTGGGTATATGGCTTACTTGGTTTGGATTTTGTGTCAAAATAGAAGTTTCAGCTACAGATACTATATCTGCAAAGTTATTTCAATGAATGTAGTCATAAGGGAATAGAATAATAGGCATGTATAAATGTGAATTTTAATAAAGAGGTCTCCAAATTTAATTGCATTTCTCTTAATTTTTTTTTCAGACAAATCCTACAGAAATTTTAGAGTATTCATCAGATAGTGAAAAAGATGATGAGTTGGAGAATGTCTTGTTCATTGATTCAGAATCCTCTCACAAATACCACATGGATTTCGGATCAGATGGAAGACGGGTTATGGAGAGACCGATAAACCCGAGGGTAAAATCTACAGAGGCCATTTTGCATACACCTCAGAAAGAGACAAAGCTTCCCAAGACTCCAGAAAATTCAGCAAAGAAGAAGAAGCTTTTAAGGTTATATTACACCTTTTTAAATACTTTTTTTTTTAAAGTTTTTCTCTTTCTTAAAAAGCCCAAATACCTACAATGTTAATTTAAAAATACTTATTTACTTGGGAAGGAAGATTGACCAAATAGAATTATAATTCTGATAAGCAGTTATGGAGTCCTAATTTCTGGAGATTGTTTGTGGAATTGTTCATCCAAGTTGAGCATTCACTGTTTCAGTCATAACCAGCTTATGTGCTTTCCTTAGTGGAGATTGGTTGTTTGGGTTTATCAGATTTTATTGAGCACCCGTGTTCCAAGTGCTATCTTAGACAATTAAGACAAGTAAATGACTGTTCCTGTTTTTGAGTAAATTATGTCTAAAAGAGGGAAATAGAAATATAGACTATTGAGATTACTTTTGTGATTGTGGTTGGCCAGGGAAACACTTAGAGATGCAAAGACTTACGGGCAAGGATTCATGGGCAAGAAACTGGCTGGTGTGTGTGTGAAGAACCATAGGGGCCAGGCCATGGAGGGCCCAGCAAGACGTGTGAAGGGGCCTGGGGTGTGCCACGTAGGGGGACGTGTCCCAACCCTGTGTTGTTCATCATCTCTTTGTGTTTTAAATTAGAACAAAACAGTGAAAACAAAACTCCAGTGAAAGTGAGAAGGAGAACTTGTGGGGAACAGTGCCACAAAAGCAGACTCAGTCGAGTCTCAGTCTTGAAACTCAGAGTTTCAAGGAAAAAGGAGTGTAGTAGAAAGTGTAAACATGGCGATGAAGAACACGGTTTTAGATCTGTTTAGGGTATGTCTGCGTCAAGGAGGGCAAGTACGATGCACACCAAGGAGAGCCCAGTGACAGTATCGGACAGTGTTGGTGGACTGGTTGGGGAGGAGGCAAGGGGCTCGAGTTGTGGAGATGGTGCTGTGACCCCTCTGCTAGAAGCTGGGATTCAAGGCAGGAGAGGGGTGGGGAGCTTAGGTTGCAAGTTTGATCAGGCTTGATTGGGATCCATTGTCTAAAGAGATCTCAGAGAAAAGGTGAGATGGATTTAGAGAATAATAGGGAAGACCCAGTGGAGGCGGAGAGGTTAGGAATAATTGCTCTCAGTGTCCAGGAAAGGAAGTGGGAGAGGGAGGCCTGTCTTGAATAAAGGAGTGGAGAGGAGAGCAAAAGGCTGTGACCGAGTCTAGTGGGATCGACATAGCGTGGTGAGTCAGTTGATGCCTGCTCGCGGTATTTTTTTTTTGTTAACATAAAACAAGACAGAAGGCCTGATGCCCGAAGTGAAGAAGTTACAGCCTCAAATGAATATGGTGATGGTTTGTAATAGTCTCTGGAGAAAACAGGAAGGGAAGCAAATTAAAGGGATTCGAATGTCTTTGTTGAAGTTGATCCTTTGCAATTAGAGAAGGTCATGTTCCCAACCCTGTTGGGGGCCTGCTGTGTGGCAAGCACTGTTTCATGTCCTGGAGGCACAGCAGTGAGCAAAGGCAGTGAAAGCGCTACCTGTCCTGAGGGGAAGGCTGATGAGGAGCCAAGAAGTAAAGTAGACGTCATGTCAAAAGGAAATAAACTGTACAGAGAAAAAGCAGAAAAAGAGGGACAGATGGCCAGGAGGAAGGGGAGGATGTTTCTATTTTAAACAGGGGATCAGGGAAGCCTCTGAGAATGTGACTTATTGAGCAGCTGGAGGAACAGAGCTGACATTTCCTGAGTTGAAGTAGGAGGGGGGTGAGGAGATCATATGGTTTGGTTTGGTTTTCCTCGGTGGGAATATCATGAGGCTTTTTTTGGGGAGATGAGGTTATTAGCCTTTTGCTTTCTCTGTACATTGACTGTACAAGTTCTTTTCACAGTTACTTGGGGTTTGAGTTTTTCATACTTCCAAACAAAAATTGGAGTTTCCCCACCATCTTTGCTGTTTGGCATCAAATGCTTTTATACTTGTATGCATACATTTTGGGGGAGTGTGTAAAAGTTTATATTTGTGTGGTCAATTCTGTAGGTCGGTCGTATTGTGTCAAGTTGCCTCCCAATTACTTTTTAAACAGAGGAAGTTCTGTATCCTTAGTAATAGTAATCTCCTTTTATACATATTGTGTTATCTTCTTTCAGTTTTATTGAGATTTAATTGACATAGAGCACTGCATAAGTTCAAGTTCAAGCATAATGACTTGTGTATATTGTGAACAGTCATTTACTTGTCTTAATTGTGCGGAAGCTTTTTAGTTTGATGTTGTTCCACTTGTTTATTTTTTATTATTATTTTTTTTTTTTGCGGTACGCGGGCGTCTCACTGTTGTGGCCTCTCCCGTTGCAGAGCACAGGCTCTGGACGCGCAGGCCCAGCAGCCATGGCTCACAGGCCTAGCCGCTCTGTGGCATGTGGGATCTTCCCGGACCGGGGCATGAACCTGTGTCCCCTGCATCGGCAGGTGGACTCTCAACTGCTGCACCACCAGGGAAGAAGCCCCCTGCTTGTTTATTTTTGATTTTGTTGTTTGTGCTTTAGTTGTCATATCCAAAAAATCATTGCCAAGACCCATGTCATGGAGCTGTTTTCCTTGATTTTCTTCTAGGAGTTTTATGATTTCAGGACTTACATTTAAGTCTTTAATCCATTTTGAGTTAATTTTTGTGAATGGTGTAAGATAGGGTCTAGTTTCATTCTTTTGTATGTGAATATCCAGTTTTCCCAGCACCATTTATCGAAGACACTGTCTTTTCTCAATTGGGTGTTCTTGGCTCCCTTGTCAGATATTAATCGACTGAGTATGCATCGATTTATTTCTGGGCTCTCTTTTGTGTTCCATTGGTCTATGTGTCTGTTTTTATGCTGGTACCATACTTTTTTGATTACTGTAGCTTTATCTTATAGCTTATCTTGAAATTAGGAAGTGTGATGCTTCCCACTTTGTCCTTTATTAGGATTTCTTTGGCTGTTTGGGGTCTTTTGTGGTTCCATACAAAGTTTTGGATTTTCTTTCTACTTCTATTAAAAATTCCACTGGATTCTTCTTAGGAATTGCATTGAATCTGTAGACGGCTTTGTATATTATGGACATTTTAACAGTATTAATTCTTCCAATCCATGAACATGGGATATCTTTCCACTTACTTGTTTTGTCTTCTGTTTCTTTTATCATGATTTTATATATTGAAAATCCTAAAGATTCCACCAAAAAACTGTTAGATCTAATCAACAAATTCAGTAAAGTTGCAGGATACAAAATTAACATACACAAATCAGTAGTGTATCTATAGAGACACTAATAATCCCATTTACAATAGCATCAAAAGCCATAAAATACTTAGGAATAAAGTCAGCCAAGGAGGTGAAGAAGCTCTACCGTGAAAACTACAAGACATTGATGAAAGAAATCATGAGGTTTTTGGCTATGTTCAGTTAGCCATTATATATCTGAGTAGGAGTACGAGTCTGGACTTCACATGACAAGGTTGGTGCTGGATGTGAATTTATAATCTTTAGTGTCCAGATGGTTTTTAGGGCATGAGCTGGGTCATTTTCTAGATCAAATGCACACTGAAAGGAGAATCTGTCACAGAATCTGTGTCTTAGGCACTCTGCAGTGGTTGAGTCACAGAGGAAGAGGCTGCTGAGGGAGGAATTAAATCGTAAGAGAGCATGATGTCCTGGAAAGCAGCCAACTATGACAGATGCTGCTGGGTTTGCGCTGTGGAGGACAGGGAATATAGAGCCTTCTCAGTGGAATGGTCAGGCAAAGTCAGATTGCTGTGGATTTAGAGAGAATGGAAGGAGAGAAACTGAGGACAGCATGCCTAGAAAATTCATTGTGTGTTTTACTTTAAGGGATGTAGAGAACTGTTTGCTAATTGAAAGGAATTTGGGGATTGAGATTTCTTTTTTATGAGTGGGAATGAGAGCAGATTTTTAATATATTGATGGGAAAGGCCCTCAGCAGGGGAAAGAGACGATAACTGTTGGAGTTGTGTCTGACTTGGTGGAAGGGGTTTACAGATGGAGGGGTGTCCTGGGTTAGGAGCACAGTTAGCCCATCCACGGACAGGTGAGAGGGCAGAGTCTCTTCAGGTGCAGGTAGATATATGTGTCAGTGGGAACTCATGCACGTTCCTGCTGA